TTCTTTCTTTCTTTCTTTCTTTCTTTCTTTCTTTCTTTCTTTCTTTCATTCATTCATTCAAAATGTTTATGTAGCCACTTATCTTCTAACCAACTCTGGGTAGCTCCCCATCAAGTTAAAACAGCACATAAAATCCTATTAAAACTATAAAACTAAATGCATTAAAACATTAAATTTGGTTTCCTGGCCGCAAGAGAAACTCCTGTCTGCGTCTTCTCCCTGTTGTCACTCAGGTTAACTTCAGCTGGCTATGGATGTTCTCTTACAATTAATTACAATAAGCAATTCATATGTAGGGGTGTGGGGGGGGAACCTCTCATAGGTTTGGTCGCAAATGTTCTTGCCCCCGCAGTCTGTTCTACCACTGTATCCCCATCACTTACCTCAGCTTCAGTCCAGGTGTATAGCTGCCTCACAGCCTTGTAGCAGGCAGACTTATACTGCACCCAGCCATCTGCACACAAACCCTGGCCACAAAGACAGGTCTGGGCAGAGACATCTGATCCAAAGAGAAGTAAAAACAAAGATTTGGTCACTACATATTTCAGCTCATTTCATTTATCCCCACTTATATAATCCAAATGGAATCGATCTACCAGTAATCTGGGGGAAGAGAAGGTATGTGAAGGGGCCGTTACAGAAATGATGTATTTCTATGCCCTTTTACTCTGTTATCTCCTACTCAGTGTCAGTCCCGGGGCCTTATGATATAATTAAAAACAATCCAGTTTATTCTTTCTTAGAAATCCTCCATGGAATATATTATATCCAACCAATCAAGAATTGCTATTTAATCCTGCAGCCTTTATCTACAAAGGAGTAGAGCAATCCAATCCTCAGCTTACAACAGTTTGTGGCTGTTCAAAGTTACAATGGCACAGAAAAAGATTACTTATGACCATTTTTCACCCGACCTTTGTAGCATCCCCATGATTATGTGATCAAAATTCAAATGCTTGGCAATCGGTTCACATTTATGACCATTGCTGTATCCCAAGATCATGCCATCACTACCTGTAAGCATGTACACATTATGGACTTTGGGGTTTTGTTATAATTAAAAGGAGGCATTGATATTGTCGAGGAGATACCATACACTCTTAAAGACTGCAATCCCAGGCATTCTTCCCCCAAAGTCAGACCAGTGCCTGAATCTTGTGGCCCATACCTCTGGATAGGAATACATAAAAATAATCTGCAACATAGATATCAGCTCACTTTCTATTTCCTATTTTTATCCTTTGTTGCTTCTATTTTTCCCTTGCTGTCTGCTGAATGCTACTACTGCTACTATCATTACTACTATTACTAATATGGATATCTGACAGTTAATTTAGTAGAAGTTCCCAGTTCCCACTTTTCTCTTTTCTCCTTTGAACTAGTGTAAACTCACCATGCATGGAAGTGATTCCCAGAAAGGTGCAGATAAATAACCAGGACCACATTCTCATTGAGTAGAAGCAGCTCAAGCTAACAGTCAGATCAACAGGAAAGAGGCTGAAGAGCTTGAAGTTCCCCCTTGTATTTATGAGAGAAAAACGTTGTGTAAATAGTAATGTTGCACAATTAATTTTCCTAAATTGCATAAGTTGGGCATGTGTACACAGTATCTTGGCTGAAGATCTTTCTTCCTTATTTTAAAAAGAAATCTGAACACACAATACTGCCCAGCAAAGTCATCTCTAAAGTTGAAGACAAACAGAAATAAAAGAATATATATATATATATGTGTGTGTGTGTTATTCAGCTTTGTTCGGGTATTTTCCCACATCATTATAGTTGTGCTTTTAAAGTTGCACAACTAAAATGATGTGGGAAAATACCCGAACAAAGCTGAATAGCATACATGTAAGTACCCGCGAAAACTTAAGAAAACACACACATATATATATTTATATATATATAAAATTAACTTCTGATATTCTTCACAGCGGTTATAAGTAAAATTATAATTTCGTTTCTCTCTCTAAAAGTTATATCATAATTTTCTTCTTTCTATAATCCATCCTATCCAATCATCAAAGCCATACATCAGAAGTTCCTTTCTTTATTTTTACCCACAAGTCCATAGGAGGTTTCCATTCACCAATAAAGGTAGATGGTATCTTCTTTTAATCAAAGAAGTTAATCTATACATCTCAGCAAGATCTGTCATTTCACCACTTCTCTATAGTGGCTTGTGTTGAATCTTTTCACCTCTGGGCATATAATGCTGTAGTAATCATAACCTGAAATAATCTTCCATGGCTTTTTTCTAACTGTTCATCCATTAGTCCTAAAAGGAAAAGTTTTGGCTTCAATTAAATATTGATTCATATTTCAAACCATTGTTTTTAGCTTTTTGACATGTCTACCAAGCATAATAAAATGTCCCTTCATGTTGTTCACATTTCCAACTTATATTTGAAGTGCCTTGATACATTCTAGAGAATTTCTCATATAAGAAATTGGCATTGTAAACTATCACAACATAATTTTATCAAAATTCTCAGGTTCTTCAGATCTTAAAACAATATAAATCTCAACTCTTTCAATCACATGTTTTCCCATTGGTTCATATTATAACCAAAATTCTTGGCCCACTCTATCATGCATTCTTTAACCCGTTTTTCCTTTGTTTTAAACATTAACAAAAGTTTATCAATTTTAGCAATTACTTGTTCACCTTCAGTGAAGAATTATGCTTCAAATTCTGTCTTACTTTGCTCTAAACCAAAGTATTTAATATGACCATTCTGAATATTTCTGATCTTTGTAAATGGAAAAACCATGGACAACTGTAAATCCTTCTAATATTAATTGTTCTCTTGATTTCATTTTAAAATATGTTTGATGATTTTTCAATAATTCCTGTTACATCAATCATTTGTCCTTGCCTGCTGTTTCTCTTCATTGATATGCTTTTGAGCTAAGATCCATAAAGGTGTTTTTGGGCACAACATGGGTTTATATATATTCCATACTCTCACTATGGCACATCTAATAAAGTGACTTTTAAATTCCATTTTAATTTTAGCTTTACCATACCATAAATATTCATGTCATTCAAACTTCAGATCACGACCTTCTAATTCTAAAAGTCTGAATTAAAAAAAATCTACACAAATTCAATACAGTGATATCATTATAGATTAGGGACAGTGAGTTTTGCTTGCAGTGGATTTACTACCTGGAATCCTGACACCCACCTGATGTGGATTATTTTTTATAAATGTTTAATCTGGTGTTGGAAGAAATATCTTTCTGGGTTCAGTTCCAAGTGGAGAACACTGGAACTGACACTGGAAACATGAAGGCTGTTTGGAAGGTTGAGTGGTGGACAGGACCACATGGCCTGGAGCTTCAGAGTGAAAAGGAAGGATGATCACATGCTTCAAAGTGAGAAGAGAAGGTCAAGAAGGAATGAGGTGCTGATACTGCCTGGGTTTTATAACCTTTGTTGGGCCCCACCTTAGTGTTTCCTGTTCCTGTGTAAGAAATGTATCCCATTGGTTGTCGGACTGGGGTCTTAGCTAACTTTGTAGGTTTTGTCTGTGACCCAGGCTTGTTTGAGCCTTGCTGGATGATGATGCACTGAAAAGGACTTTTGGCAATTGCTATAGCTTTACCTGGAGATCTTTGTTATTTAAAGTATTCTGGCCCAGGCCTTAATGGCCCACCCATTAACAAAGGTGGGGGTGAGTTTCTGCTTCTGAGGTGAGTTTCTGCTCTTGAGTTTCTACTCTTTTTAGGGGAAATATTCTGCCTTTTTAATATCTCCTAAAATATTTCATTTTTCTAGGAGAAGGGTAGGTGCTAACTTCCTACACTGGAAAGTAAGAAAGACCCACATTTGGAATTTTGGATATAATGTAATGTTTGAACAGTGGGAGAATATAAAGGTTTAAAGTTTACATTAAATTATAATTTAAAAGAAAATTTCTATAAGATGATGTATCGTTTGTATTTAACTCAAGATAAATTGTCAAGAATGTACAAAGATACTTCAAATTGAATGTTGGAAATGTAAATGTTTGGTGGATGTTGTGATAAAGCAAAGAAATAGTGGATTAGATTTCATATCTTAATACAGAAAATTCTTAAAGTGAATATAGAAAGAAAAACAGTGACTTTTGATTTTAATGGAAAAAGGCTTGGAAAAAAGATTTGGAAATCTGATATTATGTATGTTGATGGCAGCAACATACATACTCTACGCACAGAAATGGAAGGTTACCTCGATCCCCACAATGGATGGCTTCAAAAACTGATGGAGTTAGCAGAGATGGCTAAACTGACTGTTTTGATTAAAGAAAAAAAAACGCACAAATACTTTTATTTCTACTTGGAAACCACTTCTAAACCTTGTGCTTGATGTGGAAAAAAATTAAACTTTGATTTTGGGTTTTATCGATTAGATAGATTTGTTGTTATAGAAATGGCTAGTTTCTATTATTATGAAAAAGTAAGAAGTTGAAGGTAGATGTTAATGCCTTATTTTATTGCACCAAAGGAGTTTGAAATCAATGCCTTTGTTTTCTTTTTCCCTTGCTTTCCCCCACTATCCACTTCCCTTTTTCCTTCCCTGATTTCCCTAATATTTACTTTTGTATTTTCTTTGTATGTTCTATTATAAATTAATAAAAAACTATTTAAGAAAACCTTGTCTTCAGATTTCCCCTCCCTTCCTCCTCCCTGCCTCATTCCAATTTAAATCCCACATCAGCCTGTCCACTTTATGCAATGGGTGAAATGAGCCACAGCTCACAAAAGGTTATGCCTTTTAATAAAATGTGTTAGTTGGGAAACTCCTGGTTTTCCTCTTATCTCTTGTTTCTTTCTCCTTGTTTGCTTTAGCCCTCCCATTCTTAAACAAAAATAGACAACCTCTTTCCATTTTCCATGATCAGAAAGAAGATATTACTCTGCTTCGTATATAATTGAAGAAAGACTAGGATTTGATGATATATAGGAAAATAAATCCTTTATTTTTAATCTCTTTCAAGACAAGGGTAGTTATTATTGCTATCAGGCTCAGCTATAGGAAATCATTTGCTTACGGCATAAAATTTTTCCTATCTGGCACTCCACAAATGTATTGAATGACACTTGAAACTTAAAGCTGGCTAAAGACGCTGGAACTGTAGCTGAAGAAAGCCAGAGGGTGCCAGGTTGGAAAAGCTACATAAAAGAAAGCAAGAGATTGTAAGATAAGCACAAGATACTTTGCCTGCCTCTTAAGAGGAACATTAAGATCAAAACAAAGTAAGGAGAACAGAGCAGAATTGTTAAGTTCAGAGACTTTTAGGGAGGGGATTTGACACAGAATTTCTAAAAAGATATGCCCATGAAATTCTTAACTTGAAAATAATATTAAAAATAATTCAGGATACTTGAACATGAGAATTCTGTGGCAGAGCCATCACAAAACATCAGCATCAACAGCCCCTCCCTTTTTTTTTGGCAATGCTTCCACTCAAAGCAGCATGGATGGGATATTTTACAGTCCCTATTGATCAACTGCAGGGAATAATAATAGGCTTATGACAAACTCTGCATGTCCTTGATGCCCGAAGCCAAATGAAGTGAAAATTACTACAAATTAACCTCAGAACCTTTTGTGAGCAAAAATGCTTTGACAAACCAAGTATAAGGAGTTCTACTGATAATTTAAAAAGATTAACTTAGTGGTAAAGTCATGAACAGTCTTAAAAAAGTGAAAACAGGAAAAGATAAAGCAACATCTTTCTATTGGTGGGAATTTCCCCTGCTCTCTTGCAGCAAACTAGATCGCTTTGCCAGCTCTTGCCATGTATCGTATCATATTCTCTGGATTAACCATCTGGAGATTTTCCTTGTTCTGCAAATCTTTTGGAATCCCCTACAAGGGCAACTGCAGGGCAAATCATAAATTGATTTCCAAAATAAATCTGCCATGCTCAATGAATTTTCATTTGAGCTCTTTCTGCCTCAAAGGTCCTATGCTGATTCCTCTGCAGGGATTTTCTGACTGACCCACAAGTATTATGTGTGAGGCCATATGACCTCTGAATTACTGTCAAATTGGATTCAGGCTTCTTCTTTTAGGAAAGTGTGTTTTGCGTCAATGCCATACTCATTTTCATAAACACAGTTTAATAAAGAAACCATAAGCTGGTTCTTCTGAATATAGCTGAAGCATGCTAATTGCTTGCCCTCTGTCATAAAATCCCTGGATATTGTCCATATTCATTTTCAATCTCTTAACGAATCAAATCAAATCAAAGAGTGGCATTGTCGCCTGTTTGAATGAAATGCATCATTTTTGCTTAATTATGGTGATCAAGCAGCTTTCACTTAATTCTGAAACATAGTGAAATCACACAAGTAACCATTCTACAGAACAGCCTATGAGCTAAAATATCACTTTCAAAATACTTTTCCAGTTTCAAATACTGTGCTGTTTGTTTTGTTTTCATGATTGCCGAATTTTATCTCTCAAGTAATACAGTATTTTGTGTGGTGGTAAAGGCACTGGTTTAGAAACAGGGTGGAGGTGGGGTTG